GAGGGAGGGAGGGAGGGAGGGAGGGAGGGATTCAACCAAAATAAAATTGGAGCTGCCTTGCTGCATATTTTTTGGACAGACTTTCCATATGACCCTAGGCAGTCATGGGGACACGAGCCAGCTTCTAGCTGCCCTCACATCTAGAACACTGATAAATGACAGTGAAAAGCTGGTCTTGTCCTGATTTTTCTGCTTTCCAGAACATGTGTTATGAATTTATCCAGTCTTTTAATTAACGTTAAGGTCCACTTTAAATGTGGTTCTAGTTCTATGGTTTGTTAATTCTGTACTCAGAATGTTTTAGGGTGTGTTCCTGAGCCATAGGGCTTGCTCTGCTATTGATATGATTCTTATTTCCTCCTTGGGAAAATAATGGTATCTGGAGCCTTTTTGGAATGCTCCAGTTTGCTTATTGATTATTTGTCTGCTCTTGGGGCCTGACAGCTAATCTTTGAGAAGGCAAACAATATGAAACCCATTTTTTATTTTAGCTTTGTCAGGTCCTAGACTTTTCCTGCCCTAGTTAATAGGACCAAAGGTTATATCATATCATTTATATTTTGGAACTGGTACCAGAATGATAAAGTAGAGAAAATTTACAACTGGTTTGAAATCCATGCCAGGTACAATTACTGTGTAGGGAACATATTTAAGTAGGTTGTTGTAAAAGAGAGGCAGTGACCATAAACATTTGAAAAATGTTGTTAGACAAGATTGAAGATCTTGGTTTAGGGATACTGTATTAGTACCTCAAATTAAAGTAAAGTCTTCAGTAACTGGCATGTTGAGTGTTTATTTGAAATAATTAACATGTTGCTCTTATAATTGCAGAGATCTGAGTAGAAACCTGATCCATGATATTCACAGCAGAGCTTTTGCGAGGCTTGGGCCAATTACTAACCTGTAAGTAGATAGATGGCTATATGCAGTAGTATCGTGAAGATAGGAGCTAGTCCATAGAAACTTGTGTTATAACACAGTCAGATCAAAATACTATTTTCTAATTGTTTTCTTACGTAAATGCTGTGTTGATGTAGTAACCGTTTCTCGGATGTTAAGACCCATACTAGATCCATTATTTTAACACACTTAAGCTTCTTTTTAGGTAACTAATATTTATATTAATATATATGTACAGATGGTCTATATTTTTTTGCAGTGTGTGTGTGTGTGTGTGTGTGTGTGCGTACATGCGTGCATGCATGTGTAGGCACAGGCATGTGTGCCACAGTGTGCATGTGGTAATCACAGTACAACTTGTAGAAGTGGGTTCCCTCCTTTGACTATATCAGTTCTGGGGATTGAACTTGGATCATTAGACTTGGTGGCCAGCACCCTTACCCACTGAGCCTTCTTACCAGCCCAGGACAGTTGTTTTCATGTGATTTGTATCTTAGAGAGATAATGTGAAGTCTCTTTTACCTTTTAGGGATGTAAGTTTCAATGAATTAACTTCACTTCCTACGGAAGGCCTGAATGGGTTAAATCAACTAAAACTTGTAGGCAACTTCAAGCTGAAAGAAGCCCTAGCAGCAAAAGACTTTGCTAATCTCAGGTGTGTTTTTACTTATGTTTCCTCTCTCTTAAAGTTATGGTAGGCTCAAAATTATAGTCTCCCCTTTTTTTCCCTGTAGTTTCCAGATTTTTCTGAAGGCTATAATTTAAGAGTATTTCCTACCTCTATTCTTGCAAATTTGTGGAAAAGAGAATATGAGCACCATTTCCTAGTTGTTAAGAACATTAACTCATCCTCACTGTCAGGGAGATACTTGTCAGAATTATTTTTTAATATAATGGGCTTGTCATTAGCAACAAGATATCAGAAACATCTGAAGTGTGAACAAACAGAAAACTGACTCAGTGCTGTGATGCTTCCTAGAGACTAGGATTTGTAGGGGACTTGGGTCAGTGCAGCAGACAAAGGTCTTAAGCATATTCTTGTATAAAGAGAGTAAGTACTTTAACTATATTTATATGAACTAAGTAAAATTGATTAGTGGAAAGCTACAAATGACCTGGGATATTGATTTGAAAACACAGTATCCATTTCCTATGGTACACTGGGAATGGTTCAGACAAGGATTACTAAGACACTTAAATTGTTCTACCATTATGAAGTTTAGCATATGGTTTGATTTGCATCCAAATATTAAGAAACAACTCATAGAAGGGGAAAGCTTGACTGTGCACATGATGTTTGCCCTAACTGAGGAAACTGAGGCCTGAGGAAGTTAGAAAGCTAATCTAAGGTACTTGACAGATCTTTTTGACTCCTGGGCTGGAGTTGTCAGAAGTTAAAATAGTTTCTACAAAACCAAATCCTATCTGTGAAGTTGGTATTCAATGTGTATTTTGCTATTCTTTTCCAGGTCTTTATCAGTGCCATATGCTTATCAATGCTGTGCATTTTGGGGTTGTGACTCTTATGCAAATTTAAACACTGAAGATAACAACCTCCAAGATCACAGTGTGACAAAGGAGAAAGGCAAGTATCACCTCTTAGAAATAGAACACTCCCTCAGGCATTAATCAATGTGTCTGTATTCTAATCAGTTTGGGAAGGATCAATATGAAGTCTGTGAGAAAAACAGCATTTACAGTGTTATTGCATTTTTTTTTTAGAATTTTTTGAAATTCTCTGACAATTTCATACGTATATGTAATGTATCTTGATCATATCCAACTCAAATGCCCCCTCCCACTGCTCCCAGATCTGCCCCCCCCACCAATGCTGGTTACCAGCATCTTTAATGCTATTAAGTCTCTAAACACACAGAAGAAAAACTGTAGGGAAATTTAGTGCTTTTGAATTGTGTTGTTTAAACTCAATATACTTTGTTATATGTTCAGGTGCCACTGACACAGCAAATACCACAAGTAGTTCTGAAAATGAAGAACACAGCCAAATAATTATCCACTGTACACCCTCAACAGGTAATGCCCAATCTATTTTGCTGTGATTTCTCACTTTAAGTAAAGCAGCATTATGTAATTATACCTAAAATTTCTGGGAATGAATGTGATTTCTGCAGTTAAGGGAGGGAGTAGATGATCCTATAAGGCCTTCTTTCTGACTTAACTTAATGCTCTTTCAATTGGAGAATGAGTTCTATAACTCATTGGTCTGTTGGTATTCAATTTTTGTGTATATGGGGCTGAAATATGTTCATGCGGGTGTGTGCACCTGTGTATGGAGGTCAATCAGTGTCAGGCGTCTTCCTCATCTTCCCTCCACTTTAGTGTTTGAGACAGGGTCTCTTACTGAACCTGGAGGGCATTGATTTTGCTAGACCAACTGGCCAATGAGGTCCAGGGATCTACCTGTCTACTGCCACCTCGTCCAGTGCTTATTATTATTATTATTAATATTATTATTATTTAATGCAAAATTGTGCCTTTCCCTTTCTAATTTGCTTCATCAACTTTATTACTTCTGGGAAATTTACTAAACTGATGTCACATATTTAGATATGATTATAATGGCATGTTCTGTCCAATCTACTAGCCAAGATAGATTTATAATGTTAGTGTGAAGAAAAAGGATTGTTTTTAGTTAAATTTGTGTGCTATAAAAGCAGATCCTTTTCTTAATACACAATTACAGGGTGATCCAGATTTTATAACTTAGAACCACAATGTAACAGATTCACTAACTATCACTGTGTTTCTTTGGGTGTAGTCTATTTATTCTTTGAATGATTAGCACAGTGTCATATAGAGAGTATGTTTAAAGTTACCAGATGCATGGTTAAGATTGGCAACTTGTAGCTTTATGTGATTTATTTTATTGTGTGTTGGTCTCTTTGTTGAGTTTTGGAAGTTGTGTACAACTCAGCCACTTCCCCCTGGGATGCATCATGCTGGGGACTGCACATAAGGAACTGATGATCCAGTGAAAAGAGATTGACTTTGTTGAAGTGGGGGCTAGGCCTGAACATACAGAAACCATTTCTTTCATGCAAATTAGTCAAGAGGAAAGCTGGTGAGCCCACTGCTCTAAGATGGCTGTGAGGATGAACTACAGGCCTGTCTCTTCAGCTGAGCTATAGTAATACACAGACACCGTTAGCTTAGATAGAAGCAGTCAGTGGAGTAGAATCCAGATGCTTATGTTAAAAGAGGGAGCACACTTTTAAAAACAGAACCATGGTGTTAGGAAAGTAGACCTACATACCTGAGGAACAATTCCTAGAAGATGGCATGCTCCCAGGTCAGATGACTTGCTCCTCTTTTGTGAAGAGGGATGAATTCTGATACAGAAAAAAAGTGACATAAAACACTTTCCTTATGGAACTTCCCAAGGGAGGAACAAAAAATATAGTTACAAAAGTTTATGTTATGTGGAAATCAAAATTGTGCAGAATTGACTTTTTATATGACCAAGATGGGGCTGGTGAGATGGCTCAGTGGGTAAGGGAACTTGCTCCTAAGCCTCACAATCTGAGTTTAAGGAAAGAATAGATTCCCACAAGTTGTCCTGTGACTTCCACACCTGCACTGTGGTATGCCCACACACTCCCCATGAAAAATAAATAAGCAAAAGTGTAATTTAAAAATGTATTTAAGAAATGTCTAAGATGCTTGGTTGAATTAAAATTTCTTTAAGCCAGCTATATAATTTTCTTGGGCTTCATAGTCAAAAATTTTCTGATTTGAATTTTTAAATAAAATAGTTGTCATTCATGATACAACTAGCATGTGAAAATCAATGGCAAGACAAGCTGTTCAGCTACTAAATGAGTTGGCTGAAGTTGTCTGTGTTTTATATAGAGTGTTTATAACCAAACTTAGTTATGAACAGTTAGTGCCTGTGTGATTTAATCCTAGCTACACTAGCTTAGTGAATGACTTTTTTTTTTAAAGTCAGTTGAAGACTTTCAAATGTCAGTTTCTCTGGATGAAGATGGGGATACTTATACCTTTTTAAAAAATATATATTTATTTATTACTTTTATGTTATGTATATGAGTATTATGCCTGCATGTATTTAAGTGCACCGGTGTCATGTAATGCCCCTAGAGGTCAGAAGAGGTGTCGGATCCCCTGGAACTGGAGTTAGCCACCATATGGGGCTGGGAATTGAACCCAGGTCTTCTGCAAGAGTAGCCAGTGCTCTTAAGCCCCACTTTACCTATCTTAACCTCATCAGGTTGCTGTTGAAAGCCATAAAAATGGGTAGAAATGTGTTAAAAATATGTATACACACACGCATTACCCACCCCCCATTACTTTAGTATATATAGACTAGAAAAAAAGGGGGAGCTAATATTTACTAAAGTCCAACAGGGTATCCAGCAGCCTGCTTAAGTATCTTAAGCATGTAATTTTACGTAAGCTGCTACACAACTCTGAGAGAAGACAAAATTTGTAGAGGTCCAAGTTTTTCTCAAGGTAAAAGCAGCAGCAGGATTCAGAGCATCTGATTCCTGACCTTCGGTATTACCGAGTACCTTTCATCTTCTGGACATTGCACTATATATATGAATTTTCCCTAAAGTGAAAATTTCTTTCAAATATCTCTGTTTGACCAAGTAGTCAATAAAAGAAATGAAGAGCAGTTTATTTTGTTGTTGGGTTTTTTTTGTTTGTTTGTTTGGTTTTGTTTTTAATATAGCCCTGACTGGCTCTCTATGTGCTGGGATTAAAGGCGTGTGGCTGCCACTCCTGGCTAAGAGCAGTTTATTTTTAAAATAGCCTAGTCTAAGAGTGAAATATCTTAGAAGTAGTAACAGTTTTAAAAAATTATTTTTATTTTGTGTGTTTTATTTATTTTATGTGTATGTTTTCCTTGCATGTGTTTTAAGTGCGCCCGTGTCATGCAATGCCCACGGAGGTCGGAAGTGGGTGTTGGATTCCCCTGGAACTGGAGTTACAGTTGTTAGCTGCAATGTGGGAGCTGGGAACAGAACCTGGGTCCTCTATAAGAGCAGCCAGTACTCTTACTGCTAAGCCATCTCTCCAGCCCCTAGAAGTAGTAATCTTTCAGGTTGGTTCAAGTAGGTGGCAGGCTTATTCTAGATTTAACTGTCATTAATCTATTTGCTATATCATATGTTGTATCATATGGTGTTTCCCAAACTTTCATTGTACCCTTTCTTTTTCATTTTTAGGTGCTTTTAAGCCCTGTGAATATTTACTGGGAAGTTGGATGATTCGCCTTACCGTGTGGTTCATTTTCTTGGTTGCTTTGTTTTTCAACCTGCTTGTCATTTTAACAATGTTTGCATCTTATACATCGCTGCCTACCTCCAAACTGTTCATAGGCTTGATTTCTGTGTCTAATTTACTCATGGGCATCTATACCGGCATCCTTACTTTTCTGGATGCCGTGTCCTGGGGCCGATTTGCTGAATTTGGCATCTGGTGGGAGACTGGCAGTGGCTGCAAAGTCGCTGGGTTTCTAGCAGTCTTCTCCTCAGAAAGTGTCATATTTTTATTAACATTAGCAGCTGTTGAAAGGAGTTTATCTGCGAAAGATATAATGAAAAACGGGAAAAGCAATCATCTCAAACAGTTCCGAGTTGCTGCCCTCTTAGCTTTTCTGGGTGCTGCAGTAGCAGGCTGCGTCCCCCTTTTCCACAGAGGGGAATATTCTGCATCTCCCTTGTGCTTGCCGTTTCCTACAGGAGAAACACCATCCTTAGGATTCACTGTGACCTTAGTGCTGTTAAACTCACTAGCATTTTTATTAATGGCCATTATCTATACTAAACTTTACTGCAACTTGGAGAAAGAGGACCTCTCAGAAAACTTACAGTCTAGCATGATTAAGCATATTGCTTGGTTAATTTTCACCAACTGCATCTTTTTCTGCCCTGTTGCATTTTTTTCATTTGCACCATTGATCACAGCAATCTCTATCAGCCCCGAAATAATGAAGTCTGTTACACTGATATTTTTCCCCTTGCCTGCTTGCCTGAATCCAGTCCTATATGTTTTCTTCAACCCAAAGTTTAAAGAAGACTGGAAGCTGTTGAAGCGACGTGTTACCAGGAAACATGGGTCTGTTTCTGTTTCCATCAGTAGCCAAGGCGGTTGTGTGGAACAGGATTTCTACTATGACTGTGGCATGTACTCACACTTGCAGGGTAACCTCACCATGTGTGACTGTTGTGAATCATTTCTCTTGACAAAACCAGTATCGTGCAAACACTTAATAAAATCACACAGTTGTCCTGCATTGACAGTGGCTTCTTGCCAAAGACCAGAGGGCTACTGGTCTGATTGTGGTACACAGTCAGCTCACTCTGACTATGCCGACGAAGAGGATTCCTTTGTCTCAGACAGTTCTGACCAGGTGCAGGCCTGTGGACGAGCCTGCTTCTACCAGAGTCGAGGATTCCCTCTGGTGCGTTATGCTTATAATTTACCAAGAGTTAAAGACTGAACTACTGTGTCTCTCACCATTTCCCTCATCAACCAAAGCCACAGTGCTTCAACCGTGGACCTGTCTTTGGACTTCTCATCTGGGCAGCACTTCTGCAGTCCTTTGTGGTGCCACTTAGAAGAAAAGTGGCAGTGTATTTCTCAAACCAGACATTTTTGAAGAACAGGTGCCTAAATAATAAATTGGTAAAAAACAAAATGTGCAATGTTCAATCAATGTGTGGTTTATTTGAAATAAATGTAACTTGAAGATTTGAGGTATGGTATAACAATATAAAATTAGTGTTTTTCTGATCCATAAGATTCAAATTTCAAACTTCTGAATTAAGCACAAAATAAAGAACAGCTGTTAATTTTTTTTAAATTTGGAATGTGATTTTATATAACTGAGAAAAATTGTCTTGCTAATTTTACCTAATGTTTCATCATTAATCTCTGGACAACTTACTGCAGGGCCAAAAAAGGGATGTCTCCAAGCTAGAACTGAGAGGGTTCATGCAGATATTACTTTTATGATTTTTCTATTTCCATCTTTGACAAAAGAAAACCATAGATTTTGCTCAAATGATTTATAAATCTAAAAACCTGAAGGTGTTTTAAAAACAATATTAACAGCTGTTAATTTTTTTTTAAAAATAACACATTTGTTTTTGGTCATTACACATTGCTTTGGTGAAATCACAATAATTTTTTGCTCAGTGTTTTTCAATCACACTACTAGGAAAAAGCAAAAGACTAATGATATGTGGGTTAGTAGAGGTGGCTAAACTAATATGGAGATTTAAATAGTACCTGAGGAACATGATGACTCCATGTAATGTTCCCATTAATAAACACTTCCTAATATCACTGGCTGCACTGACATTTTCCAGTGTCATTGACACGTCATCTATAGTTTGGATTATACTGGAAGTAAACTGGTATAATTTTAGGTAATTGGAAGAAACAAGTAGTAACCATGACACAAAGCACTTGTATGCATTTTCCTTATCCTGTGATTAAAAAAAAACTATTCAATAACTCAGATGCTATACTCTGGCTAGACAAGACAAATACACCATTTAGAGTGGGAGGACTGAAGCTTGTCCTTGTCTTTAAAATTTTTAGTGTACTTGATTCTTACCTATAGGCTTCTGATGTGTTACTATGTGGAGTCTTAACAATGTGTTTAGTCAGTAGCAAACCCACTGCCATCTTAGTTATGCTGGTTAAACAAAAAATTAAGCTAGATTGTAGTTTAATAAACTGTACATACTGTGCATATAATGAATTTTTATCTTATGTAAATTATTTTTAGAACACAAGTTGGGAAACGTGGCTTCTGTTCATTTCGTTTAATTAAAGCTACCTCCTAAACTGTAGTGGCTGCCAGTAGTAGGATGTTAAATTGTGGTTTATATACATGTTTTGTTTTGTTTTTGTTTTTTTTTTTGCATTGTAAATAGTCTTGGTTGTACATTGTCAGTGTAATAAAAACAGAATCTTTGTATATCAAAATCATGTTGTTTGTATAAAATGTGGGAGGGATTTATTTACAGTGTGTTGTAATTTTGCAAGGCAAACTATTTACAACTTTTTAAAAATTGCTATTATGTTTGTATATTTACACATCTGATAAATATTAAATCATAACTTGGTAAGAAAATCCTAATTAAAGGTTTTTTTTACTAAAATTCAAGTTATTGAAAAGTTTTCATTTCATTCATTTGAAAATAGAATTGTAAATATAAAATATGTGGTAAACTGTGCTATATATGTACTATGAAATATAACATTGTACTCAGTGTTTTGAAATATTAAAAGTTTCTAGAAAGCAATGTATCTTGCATTAATTTATAACTAAATATATTAATGAATGTATATAGTGTTAATACAGGCAAATTAAAATTTTAAAGTAGAGACTACTAGAAAAAAAATTGGAAGTAACCACTGGAAAACACTATTTTCATGCATAGCTCTAAAACTTGAGAACAATTTGCTGAAATTTAGAAGTTTTATCCCAAGTCTGAGCCATATACTTGAAAACAAATTCTGATGCTTAAGAGAATACTATTAGATCTTTATTTAAAAGCAAATGATTAAAAACCTACATGGGACTCTGGGCCTGGCCACAACCTCACCTCCCTCTGCTTCCCTGGGCCTACTGGACCTTTAGGCCTCTCTTACCAGGTAAGTAGATCTTTCCCTTTGTGCCTTGACTCCCCCAACCTCACTCACCGTTCTGCCAGTCTCTCCTCCTAGTCTGGGCCCTGTCCCATTCCTTGTCTGGGCACCCAGACACCTGGGGAACCACCACTGCTTCTTCCTGATCCTGTGCATCCAGACCAACTCAACTCCTTCTTGGGTCCCCAGGAGCACTCTGGGCCTGGCCCCACCCTCATCTCCCTCTGCCTCCCTGGGTCTGCACAACCCACCAGCCTCTTTCCTGGACTCCTTGGCTGACCTTTCCTCTTCCTGTTCCTTTGCATCCAGACCAACCCAGCTCCTTGGGGCAGTACCCAGGGGCCCTTGGGGCTGCCTCCCACCCCCATCTTCCTTTGCATCTCCGGGTGGCACGGCCACCAGCTGCCCTACACCAGCATCTTTCCAGGGCCTGGCTCCCAGGCCAGTCCAATCCACAAATTCCTGAGGCCAAAATCTATCCTGGAGGGATCCAGACTTTAGGAGAAAGCCTGAGAGCATCTGATCCTCATCAGACTTGGGCCTCTGAGGGAACTCCTGAAGACAAAAGCAATCTGGCCAACCCAATATAAAATCAAAAGAGAGAACTGGAAGCTTAGAGGAACCAGCCTTTCATGCCCAAAAAGTAAACCACAAAGACACATAAAGTTCACAAAAAGGAGCAGACCTAAATTCAAGTAAGGCTTGAGTCTCAAGAATCAGAAACTACAGAAGAAATTCACATTAAACTCACAGAGAAAA